GGTCTCAGCCTTCTCAAACCACTGGGAACCTACATTTTATATGGTGAGTGACAAACAGAAGCGGAGGATATTGATCAGTGGCAGGGAGCTTACAAAGGCTCTGAAAAATGAGATGTGTTGATATGTTGGATAAAAGATGAGGGTTATTTTTCAGTGTTTCCTATAATGTTGCTATTGTCATTGTTTTCAGTTTTAAAAGTAACATACGTGCCTACTGCCCTAGACTCCCGTGAGCATGTCTCATCCTAAAAATAAAAAAAATCAAGCAAGGCCAAGCCAATATAATGATGAGACAGGACTTGATCCACAGAAGGTGCACAGGTGGGAGATACTAATAGTGTCAAAGGAAGTTCCAAAAATGAAGGAATGAAGGCCCCACAGGAGGATGGAGGGGAGTGGCTAGGGTGCCAGGGTTTTAACAGGGAGGCTCTTCACTCTGGGAGATGAAGTTGCAAGGTGCACATTTTCTGTCCTGTAAACTACTCCTGTATGTCCCAACCAAGACAGAAGCCCTGGGCGGAGGAGCCCCTGTCTGCTTCCACATCCACTTTGATGCTCTTGGGTTTGGAGGGGCTTATGACAGACATTAGGAGCATATTTTCTCAGCAGGATGAGACCCCAGAGCCTCCTCACTTTCTTCTTCTGCCTGTCATAGGAATGCAAACCAATTTAAACATGAGTCTCCACAAAGTCCAAGAAGCATATCTGAAGCCAGATGTCACGTTCCAAAGCCAAACGATATTGGGGTTATTCGACATTTGAGATTTCTGGCATCTCTGTCACATGAAAGGACAACAGAAACTTGAGCCTTAATTCTGTATAACTCAGAAAAAACCGATTTCCCTGCTGTTAGCTTAGAAGCTTATAAAAGGGTTATTTGAGAGGTATATATAAATATTCAAGCATCTTTTTGTTGTCATCAGATCCTTATGACAGAAAGAGAAGCAATAAGCTTTCATTGTTGGAGTATTCAGGCAGTGTCACTAGTGGCCACAAATTTGAAAGTCTTTGGGGGCAGATGCATAATTTTAAAATTATTACCATTGATAAGAGAAGTTACAAACGTCAAGAGACAACATAGGGATACTGGATATGACTAACAAAGGAGTCAAATGCAGATGAACATTTTATTCACTCTTTCTTACTTACTGGTTCTATTTTAGCCCCAGATCCACGATGTCGTTTTGACATAATACAGCTCAGTCTTATCACAAGTATCTACTTCATTACACTGATTACTTGATTGCTAAGTAATCAAAGCCTAGAACCTTGGTGCCTAGTGGTAGTCGCCCTATAAAGGTAGGAGCAATGATTAACTGGCTACTAGTGTACCCAGGCCAAATAATTAAGTTTAAAATAGCCATTGCTTTTTCCATTAAATAACAGTTCTCTGAGGAGAAGTTGCTCCCAAATCTTTGGGGACAAGGCAGAAAAGTCGTTGAAAAGGCACCAGTATGGTATAGCATCTCTCACCGTGCCCTAACCCAGGAGCCCAGAAAGGGGCTTTTCTCTCTGTAAGAGCATCTTAGACATCTTTCCCACTTCCACCTCCCTCTAGATATTGCTTGTTCTGATTAGCAAAGCTCAGTTTCTTGTATCACTGGTCTCAAGTGGTTCTCACCTTCTTGTGCAGACCTCTTTGGAGCCAACACATGAGGCATACCATTTCCATGGCATCTGAACCTCTTTTCATCCTCTTCTGCTCCTCTGTACCCCATTTTTTCCATCCACCTAAATTCTAGCTCAGCCCCACCTCTCCACGACTTAAATGCCCAGCCAAGGTCAGAGTTCCAAGCCCCTCACTTGCCGAGGAATCAAATTCAAACAATAAAACAGGCTCATGTAGGAATCCCTTCTCCAGCTCAAAGAACAGAACCAATGAGACATTTGAGCAACTCATTATTTTATTAGAATGTTGGCTTAAATCACATTTTTGCCACATGACCAACTTTCCAAAGTGATGAAATGGTCACCTTGAGAAATGTTACTTCCTCTCTGAGCCAGTGACACTTAGTTAACACTAAGTCAACTTGACACCATCCACCCCCTCCATTGCTCTCCTTTTCCAGGGCTGAATTAAATTTCTTTTCAAGCTCCTGACAGTTCTGGGTCAAACAACTGCCAATCTTCCATGTGTACCAAGAGAAGGTGATTTTCACTAGCAATAGCTTGATTTGGGAATCTTCCATTTGCAGGTTCATCCAACATGGTGACCGGAGAGACCAAGAGCTTCTTTAGCTTTGCAAAATCAGTAAGTATCTGTGCACGTCTAATGTTCTCTGATGGTGCAGTGTTTGGCATGTTGCAAGTTCTTCCATCTAAGCTTGTGGACCTGATAACCTGAGACTTGTTCATCCTTCACCTGCATCATTTATCTTCCAGAAACCCTGCATCCCCTCTACATCTGCACAAGACTGTGACATAGGCTGCTTCTCTCTAAATGAAGTGGAGGTGGGAGTGCCAGAGAAACTCCAGAAAGCTTTATTTTGGTTTCAACAGAGATTGCTTAAGTGTTGGTGCTTCTAATCATTGGTCAGAAATAAATTTAGCATTAGTGCATTTTATTTGGTCCATGGAGAGACCATCTTTTCAGTCTGGCCACTTTCTGACCAAGCCTCTAGGGCTGCTTAAGATTTCTCTGTATCCCCATCCTACTGAATTGGAGACACAAATGGCCAGCTCGCGGGGTGATCTGTAGACATGGGCAAGTCTGTGAAGCCATAGACACTCAGATACTCATGCTCTGCATACAGTAGTTATTTTGTCTGCAATTGAGAAGTCACATCTCTACTCATTCACCCCACCACAAACCTACTCTGGCCACATTCCCACCTAGGGCCACGCTTGCTAGAATTAAACTCATCTGGGCTTGAACTTCCATTTTGACCCCTCTCCCCACAATAGGGGGTCACTGCGTCTCATCAGAGCTAGCCTTTGTCCTCTCTCTTCAGCCTCCTAAGCAGCCAGTGAGGCACTAATGGATTCAGTACCTTTGCAAGCATCTCTGAGCACTATCTGTGGCATCATGCCGGACACCAGGGTACCACAGCAAATGAGACAGGCGTATGTGAGGGGCCTGAGACATTTACATTCTAACGAGGGAGACGAACTGAAATAGTAACACATATTAATAAGATGATTATAAATCGTCATAAAATCTCTGACAAACAGGATGGAGTGGAGGCATTG